CTGCGGGATCCGTGGCCACTCGGGACGACTGACCCCCCCCCCGGACCCCCCCCCCCCCCCCCCCCCCCCCCCCCCCCCCCCGCCGGTGCCGCCACCCACTCGGAGCGCCGCCGGTTGCGCGCCCACGGTATCAGCACCCCCTCGCCTGCACCCCGGGCCGGGGAAGTCCCCGACACAGCCCCAGCCTTAGGGAAAGCCCTCGCAGAACGGCGTCCCAGCACCGGGCACCGGCACCCAGCTCCGGGCACTGCCCTGGCACTGGGAACCCGGTTGCTAAGGCTGCCCCGGGACCGGCACCGGGATCTGACTCCGCGTCCCAGTCGTGCTCCCCCTTCCCTAAATCCTGCGCTCTGCTGCCGCCTCCTCTGCACGGTCCCCGCACTGCGCTCCGGTACCGGAACCCCCCCTTATCCCATCCGAACACCGCGATTCTGGTACTGGGACCTCTCCTGTCACCGCCTGTTCGGACCGGGGACCCCTCTTTCCCAGTCCCGGTCCTTCTTCTCCTCCCGCTCTCCCTTGCACCGAGGACCCTCGTTATTCTAAGGCTGTGCCGCCGGTGTCCGCACCTGCTCCGTCCCCTTGGCACAGCCCCGCTCCCGGGACCCGCTCCCTGGCACTACCCCGCTCCCCTCTGTTCGGTCCGACCCACGGTCCCGGTCCCCGTTCCTGGCCCAGCCCCCGGTACCGGCTGCCTTGGGTGCTGGCCGGCACCGTGCGCCGCCCTCAGCCGCCCGGGCCGGGCTGCCCCCGCCGTGGCCGCTCGGCTCCGGCGCTGGGCAGCCCCGTCGGGCCCCGCCTCGGACCCGGCCCCCGGGAGCGGCGGCAGCGGCGGCCACATCCCCCGGGGCCGCCCCCGCCGGGCTGCCCTGCCCCGGCCGGCCCCTCCGCGCCCCGGGACCGGGGCACCCCCGGGCCGGGACCGGGCTCCGCCGGGGGCCCAGGTACCACCGGGGATGGGGCCGGGCTGCTCCGGGAGTGGCACCGGGCTCCAGCAGTGACATGGGCGCCTCCAGGAGCGGGGCACCCCGTGGCACCGGCACCGGGACCGTGTCCCCGCCGCTGCACCCCAGAGCTCCCGGCAAAGCACCCAAGGGCTCTGCGGGCCCCGGCGAGGGCGGGAGGCGGCAGCGGATCAGGGGAAGTTTGGGAGTGGGTCGGGGGGGGTCCCGGCCCCCCCACAGCTTCCCCGCAGCCCCGGTGCCAGCCCGGAGTGAGTGGGAGGGGAGCCGGTCGCGGGGAAATCGCGGGCACCGATGGCCTCATTTCCTGCAATATAAACCAGGTTTCCTGCGCTTCCTGCTCGGCCCCAGCCGAGGGAGGGGGCGAGGGGGGGCCTGGGCCCCCCAGCCCCGCCATGGAGGGGCGGGGGGCGGCCTGGCTCGGCCCCAGCCCGGGCAGGATGGGTGGGAGCCGGTTCCCGGGGCAGTTTCCGCTCCGGCTGCACGACCCTCCGTCCCAGGAGGTGAAGCCTCTGCTTTGCCCCTCACTTGGGTAGCTCTGCCCATACCCCAAAGCCTCCCGGAGCCCCCCAACACCGCCGGGGTCCCTCAGCCCAGCCCGGGCAGCGGGCAGGGAGCTGCCCTCGCTTGTGGCCCTGCCTGGAAGAAGCTCGTTAACCCCAGCCAGGAAGAGGGTTAATTATGGCCTCATAGGGGCCATAAGGAGGGGCAGGACTGTGACCCCCCCCAAGGCAGGGACACTCCACCCCTGCCCCCTTCCTATTCAGCCCTGCCCTCGGGAGGAATAAAACCTCCAGATTCAAGCATTTTGATATAAAAACCAGTCACTATTTATTTCCCAAACAAGTTCTGTTGTAACAGAGACTCGACATATCACATCAAGCTGCCGGAGATGGGGGGGTTGTCCCCTGCACCCCAGGCCTCCCTATTAGGGACCCCAAAGGCCTCGGGATGGGTGGGGGACAGCCAGTGTCCCCCAGCAGCCCCAGAGTGACACAGGGATGGAGTGTGGAGTGACTCTGGGCAGGGAGCACAGGACCCTCTTCCACAGGGTCAGGACAGTGTCCAGGTGGGGCAACATTTAAAATTCAACCAGGCCCCAGGGAGCAGCCAGGGGAGGTCGAGGGGGCCTGGCCATTGTTGTAGGAGGTATCTAACGGGGGGTGGGGGGGCTGCAGCCAGCGCAGCCTCCAGGGGACCCCGCTCCCCTCGGGGATGTGACGGGGACGTGGCTCAAGGCCAAGGCTCAGTAGCATGACAGCTGAGACAGAGCAGGGGGGGCAACCCCCCAAAGGTGTCTCAGCTTTCCCTGAGGGGCTCCGATGTCCCAGGTGCTATCAGGGCCAGCTCTGTGGCTGGCAGCCACCCTGAGGGCCACCACAGTTGGGGGGGACATGTCCCTGTCCCCCAACCCTAGCCGGGCTTGCTGCGGGTCCGGCGGCGCTTCACAGGCAGCGGCAGCTTGTGCAGACCTGGATACAGGGAGAGTGTGAGAGCCAGGGTGGGGGACACGGGACATGCCAGCAGCCACCCCAGTGTCCCCGTGTCCCTGTCCTCACCAAAGGCACGGATGAGCTCGGCCTGCACCGCCCAGGAGACCCTTTTCACCAGGCACAGCGTGGTGAGCCCCGCGAAGCCCATGTTGTAGAGGAAGACGATGTAGAAGTTCCCCAACCAGTTGAAGCGGCCAAAATCCCCCAGGAGGTCAAAACGGGTGATCCCTGCCCAGGGTGGGGTACACATTGGTCAGGGCACCCCAATTCTGGGCACACCACCCTGATCCCTCTGGGAGGCTCACCCAGTGTCCTGGAGAAGACGGGCAGCGCTGAGCTGAGCACCAGCAGGGAGACACAGTTGCCGATGATCTGGGGAGAAGGAGGAGGTTTGGGGGGGCAGTGCTGCTGCAGGGAACCCCCAGGCTGGGGGAGGAACTTTCCAAATGCCAGGGAACCACAGTGGGACGCTGTCCTCCCACGTGGGGACTGCACAGGGACACGCTGTGAGGAACAGGGTCTTGCAAGCCCACAGGAGCCCCCCAGCCCCGTCCCGCTGCTCCCACCTTGGTGAGGGGGGTGTCCCGGCGCTCCGGCAGCAGGCGGGTGAACAGGGGGGAGCTGTAGAAGCCCACGACAGAGGAGAGCATTAGGTAGCTGCAGGGAGTGTTTAAGGAGGAAAACAGGATGGGCTGGTGCTGGGAACGGTGCTGGGGACACGGGGGACATCGCTGGGGACACAAGTGCCCGCCTGAAGGATACAAAATGAGGACAACCTGCAGTGCAGCTCCAAAGGAGCCGAAGATGGAGAAGGAAACCTGGCCCAGGGATGCGTCCTGCAGGAAGAGGAGGAAAGCAGGTTGGGGAGGAATGGTCCCCAGACCAGCCAAGGGCGCGACCCTGAGCTGTGCCATCCCCCAGGCGGGTACCTGGATGCCCCGTGGCATCGCGGCATCGTCCAGCAGCAGCTCCAGCACATGGAAGCAGACAATGAGCACAGAGATGCCCTGGGAGGAGCAGGGAGGGAGTGAGGGCACTGCTGAGCATGGGGACAACCCCCAGCTCCCCTGGGAGCCCAGGACCACTCACTGTCAGTGCCAGGAGGCCCAGCATGGCCAGGGGGTAGCCCAGGTTCCTCTGCCAGGGCGATGCTCGATGCCGCAGCTCTGTGGGGAGGATGTGCCCAGGTGAGAAGGGAGCACAATTCTCACCCCAGGGCAGGAGATTTAGGGGGTCCCAAAGTGCCAGGGTGGGGTGTAACAGCCCCCAGCCCATCTCCCAGCCACCCTCCCTCCACAGAGCACGGACCAGTGCTCCCAGTGCCAGGCTGGAGGGAACCCAGTGTCCCTTCCCCTGGCCAGGCTCCTCACCCAGCTTCCGCCTCTTGCTCCGGACGGCAAAGAATTGCTCCTGCAGCATCTCCATGTCCAGATTCAGCCAGCAGGAAGCTTTGCCTGCTGGGGAGAGACCCAAGGGGCTCAGGGGGGATGAGGGCTCCTATGTGGTGGGGTAGAGGGGCTCCCAATCCACCCCATGCTCCCCTTGGCCAAGCAGCAGCACCCACCAGAGCGGATCCTGTGGGACACAGCGGCTTCCTCAAACCTTGTGCAGCTCAGCTGCTCATCCAGGTCTTCCAGGAGCTGGGGGTGGGTGAGGAGCCTGTGAGTGGCTGTTGGGCTGTGCGAATGGCTCCCCATGCCCGAGGTGGGAGACCTGACAACCCTAGGAGCAGTCAGCCCCAAAGCTGGGGCACAGGGATTGCAGGGGGGACACCTTACCCGGGGTTTCACCAGCAGCTTCCCAGTGACAGTGAACATGGTGGAGAGGCCAAAGGGGGTGCACACTGTGGTGGGAGGAGAGGCTGAACAGGAGGTGCCCCGCCATCCTACCCCTTCCCCACACCCTCAGAAGGATCCTGGAGGCTTCAGCCCCTCCGGACCCCATTTGGATGGAGCACCAGCAGGGTCTCGTGGGGGCACAACTTACGCAGCAGAAGCAGGACACCGAAAAGCGAGATGCAGGAGTAGAGGTAGGGCAGATAATATTCCCAGAGATCTGCAGAGACAGTGGGATCATGCCAGTGGCACCAGAGATCCCTTGTTCCATTCAGTGCCAGGGTCTGATCCTGGAACAGGGAGGGCTCAGCTCACCCACCGTAGAGTGACTGGCGACTGGCAGCGTCGTTGCCCACGATGGCAGAGGCCACCCAGACCATGCCCAGCACCAGCAGCGTCAGCAGCAGCAGCACCACAGACGTCTCATACACCCTGGCCATGATGCCCTGCAGGAGCTGGGTTAGCAGGGAGTCACAGAAGGGGGGACAGGGGGGACAAGGGCAGGATCACCCACCTTCTTGGATCCTGCAAACCCTTCTGACTCGGTGAAGAAGTAGGCGAAGGGCATGAGGAAGACCAGGGACATATTGGAGAAGAGGAAAACCAAATTCCAGAGGCCTGGAAGAGGGGGAACAGCATGGGGTGAGCTCCGAGGCAGGGCAACCCTGACCCACAGATTTTGGGGACACCCCAGGTCACCTCATGCACCCACCATGAATGAGGGACCCGTTCAGCCACTGGATGTAGTAGTTCTGGGGGAAGGAGAGCAGCACCTCGTTGCTGATGATGGAGAAGGGCAGGAGGAGGACGGCACCCAGTGCCACAGCCAGGGTGAAGGTACAGAGCCCCAGCCTGCCAGAGGGACAAGCATCACCTCTGGGTCAGGCTTCCTCTGGGTGTCACAGCCTGGGTGTCACAGCACCAGCACCCACAGGACACGGTGTCCTGGCTGAGGAAGAGGCTGAGTGAGTATCAGGGAAGGGACAAGCAGGAACTTACGCAATCCTGTTGACAGCAGCATCCTCGTCATCGTGAACTGTGGGGACAAAATCCCAAACCAAAGGACTGGGGGAGGTAGGCCTGCCCAGAGCATTGCTGCCTCCCCCTGCCCAAGCTCTCCCCACTCCAAATGCTGCAGAAATCCTCCGGGGGAATTTGGGGTTTGCTCCCACTTAGGGCAGCAATTGGTGTCAGGGCAACCAGGCTGTGGTGGGGCTGGGGCTGCTGGGGGAGGCCAAAAGCAAGGGAGGAACAGGAGGAACCCTCAGGAGGCTGCATGGGGCTGTCAAGGGCTGCCTGGCTCTGGCAGCTCCCACTCTCTTACCTGCTGTGAAATCCGTGTGCTTCTTAAAATGGGTTATGATGAAGTGGCAGAGGATGTAGAGGCTGGCGAAAAGCAGGGCACAGATCTGCGGGCAGAGGAGCGTGAGCAGTGCGGGCATGCCCGGAGGGCAGCGCTCCTACCCCGGCTCCTACCCCAGGTGATTCTGCCAGCCCTGGGGTTTGTCAGCTCCACCCTATTTGTTTTTCCACTCCTGGCCCTGGTTACACCCCACTCGTGTGCTCAGACCTCTCTGTTCAATGGGGACTGCACCCAGAGCGTTCACACATGGGTGCCCACAAGCTGGCACACCACCCAGACCTGGTGGTGGGGCGGGGAGGCTGAAAGCCCACCCAAGAATGTCTGGATCAGCCTGTGCCAGCAAATCTGTGACCCTGTGGGACATCCCTGAAGCGCCCGATCCCACAGCCCTCGCCTTGCTGGCAGAGCCACGAGAACAGCCTTGAATCAGGAGCCAAGGACATCTGCAGTGTCCCTCCCGCCCCCGCTGGAACACCGAGGTCGGGCCAGAGCAGGCGATGTTCAGGGAACACAGTGACCTTTCATCCCACCGGGCACGCGTCAGGATGAGGAAAGGTCGCCTGAATCCTCCACCTTGGCACAGGTGCAGTGGGGAGCAGCTGTGGCACCTCCCTTCTGCCTGCCTGGGGGTGATCTGACCCTGCCTGAGGGCGCCCAGGATCTGGACTCCCACAAGGGCAGCACCCAGCAGGTTCTTCTGCTCCTGCACCCACCCAGTGAAGGGTCTCAGGCCACAGATTCCTTCCTGCCACGGGCTGGACCCCACAAATGCTCTGCCTGTTGGGGGAACACCTCCTCAGGGAAGCTGGGCCAAGTAAGTTTTGTACTGCCTGTGCCAAGCCGGGGGCTCCTGGTTGAGATGCAGCTCCCTGGAATGGAGGTCTGGGGGGGCACAGCTGCCAGGCTCTGGACACCAGCTCCTCCCTGTAGGCACCGAATGCGGCTGTGGCAAGGTAGCCTCAGCACTGCCCGTCATAGCCCACGGGGCTGCCATGCACGCAGCATGCCCAAGGCCCTTAGGAGATGCCAGGACGTTCAGGTCATCCCCACCCCTCAGCCTGTGGCAGGAGCAGCAAGAGGAGCAAACCCAGCTGTGTCCCTCTGCGGTTCCCGAGGTTTAGGGGCTCTGTGTGGTCCCTTCCTGCTGACACCGAGCTGCCGGCCTGGGGACAAGGACAGAGCCAGGAGGCTGCTCTGACAGCACCACAGCCCAGCACCCCCCAGCCCTCCCAGCACGAGGGGACCGCAGCTGGGACTGCTCGAGCCGGCAGAGGGGTCGCGGGGGGGGCTCAGCAGGGTCCAGCCCTCGGTTCCCGCTATCTGCTGGACACACGCAGCCGCGGCGGCTCTGGCCCCGATAAGCCCCGGGTGTGGAGCCCTGCCACAGCCGGGCCGTGGAGCCGCCACCGGGGATCCTGACGAGCTCCCAGCCCCCCTCCCACCTCTCCCTGCCAAACCGGGCCCCTTCCCCCGCCCGCCGCCCCTCACCGCGGCCCCCGGGCACTCACGATGCACTCGCGGACCCTCTCGTGGAAGAGCTGCTCCCGCACGGCCAGCGCGTCCTGCTCCACAGGGGCCATTCTGCGGCCAGCATGGCAGGGCCGGGCAGGGCTGCTGCGGGCAGGGGTAGGACGCCAAGGCCGGTACCGCCACGCCGGTCCCGCCGCTCCGGTACCGCCGGGATCGCCGCTCTGAGCCCGCCGGGTCCGGCCCAGCGCCGCCGCCGAGGCCCCGCCCCTCCCGTGGCCACGCCCCCTCCCCGCTACAAAGTATCCGCTCCCCCGCGGCCTTGAAAGGGCCCGGCCGGCCCCGCCCCCGGCCGCCCATTGGCTACGGGAGGTGAATGAGGCGAAGCTCATTGGTCAAAGCGCGGCGCGCCGCCCGCTGATAGGCTGAGCCCGCCCGGCGGTCCCACGGGCCCCCGGCCCCAGCGCAGCCCCCGCGGAGTCGGGAGCGGGGATGGAGCTAATCCCGGGACGCGGCTAATCCCGGTGTTAATCACGGAGAGCCGCGGGGGCAGGGCTGGGCTCCCGAGCGCTGGGGCCACCGGGCAGGGCATGGCCCCCATGGGGAGGATCACAGACAGCTCATAGAGGAGCACAGCAGTACGCAGCGTGAGGCCGCACCCTGTGGAACCCAGGGATGAGGGGGGTTCACCCCCCCAGCTAGAAAAGGGAAGGGCTGGGCAGCTCGGGTAACAGCAGTATCGTGCCAGATGCCTCACTGGGCACAGACAATAGGGACAGTCTGTTCCCATGGGATGAGGCCAGCGGGCCCGGGTGATAGCGAGCACTGACACAGAAGGTTTGTATCGACACAGTGTAGCTTCTCTTAAAGCCTTTTATTCACAGACACGGTACAGACACATGGAAAATCTGCATGATCACATCCGAGAGGGCAGCAAATCCCTGGCCAGACCCACGGGGCTGAACCCCACGCAGTGCACAAGGAAGCTCAAGTGTTTGAAGCAGACATTTCGTGGACATGCGACAGTGACAGGAGGAACCCAGCGTTTAGTATTCCTCCCCTTCCTCCTCTCCTTCCCCTTCCACAGAATCCACCCCCACCTCCTCATAATCCTTCTCCAGGGCAGCCATATCCTCACGGGCCTCTGAGAACTCGCCCTCCTCCATGCCCTCCCCCACGTACCAGTGCACGAACGCCCGCTTGGCGTACATCAGGTCAAACTTGTGGTCCAGGCGGGCCCAGGCCTCGGCGATGGCCGTGGTGTTGCTCAGCATGCACACGGCGCGCTGCACCTTGGCCAGGTCGCCCCCGGGCACCACCGTGGGCGGCTGGTAGTTGATGCCCACCTTGAAGCCAGTGGGGCACCAGTCCACAAACTGGATGGTGCGCTTGGTCTTGATGGTGGCGATGGCGGCGTTGACATCCTTGGGCACCACGTCCCCGCGGTACAGCAGGCAGCACGCCATGTACTTGCCGTGCCGCGGGTCACACTTGACCATCTGGTTGGCCGGCTCGAAGCAGGCGTTGGTGATCTCGGCCACCGAGAGCTGCTCGTGATAAGCCTTCTCAGCAGAGATGACCGGGGCGTAGGTGGCCAGAGGAAAGTGGATGCGGGGGTAGGGCACCAGGTTGGTTTGGAATTCCGTCAGGTCGACATTCAGGGCTCCGTCAAAGCGCAGTGAGGCTGTGATGGAGGACACGATCTGGCTTATGAGGCTGTTGAGGTTGGTGTAGGTGGGACGCTCGATGTCCAGGTTGCGGCGGCAGATGTCGTAGATGGCCTCGTTGTCCACCATGAAGGCGCAGTCGGAGTGCTCCAGGGTGGTGTGGGTGGTGAGGATGGAGTTGTAGGGCTCCACCACGGCCGTGGACACCTGCGGGGCCGGGTAGATGGAGAACTCCAGCTTGGACTTCTTGCCGTAGTCGACAGAGAGCCGCTCCATCAGCAGGGAGGTGAAGCCAGAGCCGGTGCCACCGCCAAAGCTGTGGAACACCAGGAAGCCCTGCAGCCCTGTGCACTGGTCAGCCTGCCAGGTGGGAAGAGGAAAACAAGACCAAAGTGTCAGTAATTCTGAACTTCAGCTGTCACTGAAGTTGCTGACGTGTCCAAGAAAACACACATTTCCTCCAAGGATATCAAGACTTTAGGGGCACCTGTTCATTCCACTTCCAGCCACAGCACCCTGTGACACAGCCTGACCTGCCCTCAGGAAAAGGGACCCCCTTCCTGCCCCCACCCTTCAGCTGCTTCCTCCTATGACCCCCACAATCTGCTTGAGGGAAGGGACAATCCACTAGAGCTGCCCCAGCAAGAGTTAAATGCTTGGCACAGCTGCTCATAAGCAGTTGGTCAAGCAGGATCAGCATGCAGATAAAGGAGAAACCTCAAATGACCTTAGAAAAGGGATGAAATAAGGTTTTCCCAGGGACAGAAATGACACAGAATCCCACAATCCCCATCACACCCTGGAACATGCCATGCTCAGGGTGCACATCCTGGCCTGGTGTGAGTAAAGGGATTCAGGCCAAGGGGAACAGAAGGGGCCGATCCTGAACACTTAGAGAATCCAGACCCCATAGGGAGCCAGGATGTGATGCAGGCTGACAAATTACTCACAACAAATCCATCCAGAGCCAGGAGGCACAAGAGTCATGCAGGTCCCACGAGGAAGGTGGAAGGTCTCTCCTGGCACAACCCCACCCTCTGCCCCAAAGTGCCCATGGGCTGAAAGAACCTGCCCAGGGACACCTGGAGCTTTCCCTTTGTCCCCACATCCCTCGCAGGGATGAACCCGCCCCATGAGACCCCACAGGACACTCACCAGCTTGCGGATGCGGTCCAGGACCAGGTCGATGATCTCCTTCCCGATGGTGTAGTGCCCGCGGGCGTAGTTGTTGGCCGCATCCTCCTTGCCCGTGATCAGCTGCTCGGGGTGGAAGAGCTGCCGGTACGTCCCGGTGCGCACCTCGTCTGCGGGGACAGCCCCGGGCCCCGTTAGCGCCCGGCGCCCGCCGCCAGCGCGCGCCCCGCCGGCCGCCCCCCGTGCCCTCACCGATCACCGTGGGCTCCAGGTCCACGAACACGGCCCGGGGCACGTGCTTGCCGGCGCCCGTCTCGCTGAAGAAGGTGTTGAAGGAGTCGTCCCCCCCGCCGATGGTCTTGTCGCTGGGCATCTGCCCGTCGGGCTGGATGCCGTGCTCCAGGCAGTACAGCTCCCAGCAGGCATTGCCGATCTGCACGCCCGCTTGGCCCACGTGGATGGAGATGCACTCGCGCTGCGGGGGCACGCGGCACCGGGTCACCCCTTTTGTCCCCTCTGTCCCACCCCAGCACCCACCGGGCTGGCACCCAGCTGGGTCCTGCCCAATCCACCCACTGTGCTCAGATTCGGTGGTCCCATTCTGCTCCCCTCTCTGCAGGGGCTGAGACCCTGCACCAGTTGGTGCCCTTCACCCTGCACACCCCACAGAGCCAGGAACTTGGGTTCCCCAGGGTTATTGCTGGTACCCCGCTATTCCCAGTTCCCTCCATGCCTGGCTCCCATAAGGACAGGGACACTTAACACCCCTCTGCAGGTGGCAGGGACACTCTTATACCCCGGGGAACATCTCTTCTCCAGTGCAGAGCATGCTCAGCTCCAAGGGTCCCATTCTGTCCCTCCCAGGAGCTGCCACGCTGCATCCTGGGGGACGAAGAGATCTCACAGGGGCTCAAGCTCAGCACGCCCAAACCCGTTGTGCCCTAGTGCCACCCCAACTGGTGGCTGAGCTTTGCCATGGCCGGCCAGGATCCGAGCAGGGAAGCTGCGGGGTGACACCCGTGTTTGGGAACAGACTGCAGCCACCGGTGGGCAGCCTCCGGGGGTCCCACCACCCCGCGGCTGCCACCGCCTGCTCCCAAATGGCGCCCGGGGAGGACATTTTCCAGCCAGGCAGCCTGGGCAGGGCGAGGTCGGGAGGAGGAGGAGGAAGAGGAAGCGCAGCAGCGGGGCCGGGACTGCAGCAGCTGACCCGAAACCGCGGGGATGGGCCGATGGCGTCACCGGGGGTCGCGCACATTCCCGGCCGCTCCCTGCCCCGCGCCACCTGCTCCGCGCGTTCCTCCCACCCGGGCGGGGGGAGCCCGGGGTCTGGGGGGGATCTGGGGCGGAGGGTGGTCCCCGTGAGCCCCTCCAGGAGCCATGGAGCGGGACCAGCCTGGTGGGCTCGGGTGAGGAGAACACAGCGAATCTCGTGCTCCAGGGAGGGGTGAGGTGTAGGGGGTTCAGGGCTGGATTGGGGGGTTTAGGGCTGGATTTTGGGGGGAGGGGGGGGAAGGGTGAATATGCGGTGGGGGGCGGGGCCGTGCCCCTGGCGAGGGGCGGGGCCGTGTCCCCGCCGCGCGCCTTCCCGCGCGCGGGAACGGTAACGGTCGGGGTGACCCCGCCCCCACCGGTGGGCTACCGGAGACCACGTGCGGCCACCCCAGGGGTGCTGTGAGCCCCCACCAAAGGGTGCTCCCCTCCATCAAGGACCTCATCCTCTATCCCTGTTCAACACCCCCAGCCCCTGCTCTATCCCCCCACGATTCCTACCGTACCCCCACATCCCCTCCCGAATTTCCACCTTAGTTGCCCCCACCCCACGCTGGTACCCCTCCGCCCTATTTCCCGCCCCTCGAAGTCTCCCCCCCCCCCACCACTCCTTCCCCCTCCTCTCCTCCACACCCATTCCCCCCAATCCTCCGCACCCCCATATCCAGCCCTGCTCCTCCTTTTCCCCGCCATGCCCCGGGCCCGTCCCCCGCATTTCTCCAGCTCCCTCCCCTCACCATGGCTGCGGCTCGGTTACTCGTCCCGACAAGCAAGGAATCGACGCAAGTACCAGCTACCGCCGCCCCCGGGCGCCCCCCTATATACCGGCCCGGGGGGCGGCCCGAGCGCCCCCGCCCCGCGCTCCTATTGGCCGCAGCGCCCGTCCATCAACGCGCTCGCATCGCGGATTGGCTGAGGCGCGTGGCGCGCTCCGCCTCCTCCGCCCTCCGTGCTGCGGGGCTTGGGGCGGGGGGGGAGACGGGGACCGTCCCCTCCTCCGCGGGGTGCAGCCCCTCCGCCCACCCCCCCGGGTAGCGAAGGGTCCCCCGTACGGGGAATGAGGAGTACGGCGGGGGTTTGACCTTCCTATGCTCCTTTGCCCCCTCGGTAATGCGTTTGTCGCGTAGGATCGGGGTGGGGGAGGACAGCCGGTCCCGCCCGCCCC